CGATGTCCCGGAAGGACACGAAGGCCCCCAGGAGCTTGGTGAAGGCGCGGGCAACCGTGACGTTGTGTGCCGTGGAGCCGGCGGGGATGCTGGACACCTGCGTGTGCATGGTGGGGTAGGCGAAGACGAGGCTGCGGCCGGACAGGAGGATCTTCTGGTAGCTTTCGTAGAGGGCCGAGTCCAGGGTGACCTGGCTCGCGAGGACTCGGACGTTTTCGATGGTGTAATCCGTCGAACCCTCGCCGGGGCGCAGGGCGTCGGCGGCTTCTGCAAATTCCAGTTCCAGGACAAGATTTAGCTGAGGAGGTAGAAATTTGCCCGCCTGGAAGAGGCCGATGAGCGTGGGCGCCATTAAGACGTCCTTGAAGCTCTCCGCGGGCACGGGTGCCGGCGCACCGGCGACCTCCCAGAAGCCCGTGATCCCCTTGTTCCTATACCATTCTGCAGGCTTGAGTAGTGAGTAGAGGAAGCAGCAGCGCCCGTATTCGGAGATGTCATCGCAGCGCTGTCCATTGGCGAAGAGCTGCACCCGCTTGATGAAGCACGAGGGCTCCTGCGTGCCGGGGTTCAGGCCCAGAGTGGTCGAGTTGTTCCGCACCCGGAAGGCGATCTTGACGCTCTCCGGATCGATAAAATCCATTCCACTTGTGAGGGGGATTCTTGCCACTCGGGATGTGGTGGGGGTAAAGGTGCTCAGAGAGCTCGGAAAGTACTGGACGTCCTTCCTGCTCTGAATGTAGTTCACGTTGCTGCTCCCAAGCTTGTAGTCGAGGCTCTTGACGAGCTCGTCTTGCACCGCTTCGGTGACGTTTTGCATGACCCTTTACTACCTAGGCAAGTTCTGGTTCGTTTCTCAGTTGGTCGAACGACGGCTGGGTCCCGAGAGGCCCGCGGTCCGAGCGGGACTGCCGGCTGATGCGGGACCGGTCGCTGTCGGAAGAGACCGGGATGGGAGCGTTGTTGAGGCCGAAGAGCGTGGGGACCTGCGCCCTGGGACGCCTGGCGGGGCGGGCCACGATGCGTTGCTGTGGCTGGGCCCGCGGCTCCTCGTCGCTTTCGCTGATCTGGAAGACCTGGGACCGCCGAGCCGGTTGCTGCCGGCGCAGCCTGGAAGTGGTCCACGGCGCCCGATTCTTGCATTCCATTGAGGGTTGCAACGTCCGTTGCGCGGCTCGCCCGCGAAGCATCGCTGTCCGTGCCGCCTCCCGTCGCGGCGCCCCAGCCCGTGAGGGCCGAGGCCGCATTCAGACCTCCTTCGATGGCGCACGCGGTTCCGACCAACGCCGCGCCTGCGGTTGCAACGGCCAATCCCTCGCCCAGCACCGCCAGGGCGCCTCCTCCCGCCTCCGCCGCCGCTGCTGCTTCCGCCGCCCCCGCCGCAGCCTCCGCCGTGGCAGCGAAGCCTTCCGAAGCTTCTGCTTCGGCCAGCTGCTGCGAAGCGAAAGCTTCGATGTCTTGGGCAGCCGCGCGCTCCACCTCCGCCGCCCTTTGCCCCGCTCTCTCCAGCAAGGGCTCCACCTCGGAGGGTCTTCCGATGATTTGAGGGGCAGGCACCTCGTCGGGCGGCGGCGCTAGGCCCGGAGGCCTTCTTGGAATTCGCAGCGTCCTGTCGAGCCAGTCGCCTCCACCCCTCAGAATGTTGAAGGTCTGGTTCTCCGCGACGCTTCGGGTCGGCGCCCGCCGCGCCTCCGGCGATGATCGCCTCCGCGGCTTGAATGCCGCTCTCCCTCATCCGACCTCCCAGAGTCGGTGGCCTCGGCGGGTTCAGGCCGTCGTT